GAATCCGGAACTTCACGTGAACGTTTGTAAGCAGATCGATGAGTATCAGGAGAAGGGGTATGCGAACCCGATAAGGTATGGTACCTTCCACTAAACGTGGTACTGAACCCCAAAAAACCAGGTAAGGTACGCCTCGTGTGGGATGCTGCGGCAACGGTGCAAGGTATCTCCCTGAATTCATAGGTGTTAAAAGGGCCTGACATGCTTGTGCCGCTAGTGACTGTGGTCGTTGGGTTTCGGGAATACAGAATTGCTGTAGGTGGCGATCTGCGTGAAATGTATCACCAGATGAAGATCATCGCTCGGGATCGGCAAGTACAACGTTTCCTCTTCCGGAAAGATTCCAAGGGACCTCCTCGTGTGTTCATCATGGACGTTGTCACGTTTGGATCAACGAGCTCTCCCTGTTCGTCCCAATATGTGAAGAACCTCAACGCTCAAGAGTACGCTGGGAAATATCCGGAGGCAGCAGCGGCGATTATCAACCGTCATTACGTCGACGACTACTTTGATAGCGTCAACACCGTAGACGAGGCGATCGAGCGAACGGAGCAAGTCAGGTTCACTCATCAGAAGGGAGGCTTCGAGATTAAGAACTGGGTTTCGAATTCGCCGGAAGTACCCCAACAAACATTGCAAGCTGAATAAAAGCCTATTCAGGCCAAAATATGCTTCTTCAGCTAAAAAATAGCTTATTCAGTTTTAATCAGCTCCAATTGTTTGTTGAGACTCTAGAGCCTCGGTGAGCAGAAACCGGTTACAGCCGTCCACATCACCGAAGACAAAGTAACGTCACATGAACGCGTGCTGGGTATGATCTGGGATCCGGATCATGATGAATTATCTTTCTCTACCCAACATCGCCAAGAGCATCTTCCGTACCTATGTGGAGACAAACGGCCAACGAGAAGCGCGGTGATAAGCTGCGTCATGGGCTTCTTCGATCCGCTTGGTTTACTTTCTCCGTTCACGATCCACGGAAAGATCATCGTGCAGCACTTATGGCGTAGTGGCTGCGATTGGGACGACGCGATTAATGACGATTGCTGGGAAATGTGGAAGTACTGCCGGAAGTCGAGAACATTAGGATTCCACTTTGCTATCTTGGAGATTCCTTGTCGTCTGCGGTTGAGTCAATTGAAGTTCACATCTTCACGGGTGCCAGCGAACACGCATACGGCTGTGTTGCGTATCTGCGAGTAGTCATTGACGGAGCTGTGCGGTGTATTCTAGCTATGTCTCGATCGAAAGTGGCACCGTTGAAGCGCCAGTCAATCCCGCGACTGGAGTTGAAGGCGGCTGTACTTGGAGCGCGGATGAGTCAAACGATGATCGCTACGCATTCACTGAAAATCGATCGATGCGTACTGTGGACAGATTCACGAACGGTTTGGAGTTGGATCCGGTCTGACCAACATAAATACAAACAGTATGTTGCGTTCAGGATCGGAGAAATACTGACACGAGCGACGGATTGGCGATGGGTTCCAACGAAGCAGAATATGGCGGACGTCCTGACGAAATGGCATCGAGGTAACGATCTGGAAAGCGATGGGGTATGGTTCACGGGTGCACCGTTCCTGCTCCAGCCCGAAGACCAGTGGCCGACTATGGAGGTGCCGATCGAAGAGACGTACGAGGAAGCCAGGGGCCACGTGACATTCCATGGCGTGGTTGAAGTAGACCGATGCTCGAGATGGACAACGCTGCAAAGGGTGATGGCGTGTGCGGTCAGGTTCATCGACAATTGCAAACGCAAGGTAGCAGGGCTGCCGATAGTCACCTTGAAGGCAACAGATAACCAGCAACATCAAATCCTGGTACCGATGAGTTTCGAACTGCGCAGATCATCCTGTGGAAGCAAGCACAGTTAGAAGGTTTCCCAGATGAGATGAGCATCCTCACCAAGAATCTGGAACAACAACCAGATGCAGTAATGGAAACGGTGAAGAAGAGCAGTTGCCTGTACAAATTGACTCCGATTCTGGACAAATAAGGTGTGCTGCGGTTGGGTGGTAGAATGGATATGTCCGTCGGCATGCCTTTCGACAAAAGGTGTCCAATAATTCTGCCAAGAAAGTACGCGACGACGGAGAAGCTGATCCAGTTCTACCACGAGAAGTATGGACACGCCAATCGAGAGACGGTGATGAACGAGCTTCGCCAAAGGTTCTGGATTCCGAACACCCGAGCTGCAATCCGTCAAGTGATGAGCAATTGCGTGTGGTGTTAAGTACATCGCTGTCAGCCGCATGTTCCCAGCATGGCACCGCTTCCGATACAGCGAGTCACACCCTATCTGCGACCGTTCAACTCGGAGGGCATCGACTATCTAGGTCCGATAGAAGTGACTTTGGGACGAAGAAAGGAGAAACGATGGGTCGCGGTGTTCACTTGTTTGGCTGTACGAGCGGTACACCTAGAAGTGGTGCGTAGTCTCTCAACGCAATCCTGCTTGATGGCCATTCGAAGGTTCAGCTGTAAGCGAGGCGTACCACAGGAAATTTTCTCGGACAACGCGACGTGTTTCGTAGGTGCCGATAACGAGTTGAAGAAGATCAACAGCGACTGTGCGACCAGCATAACGAACGATAATACCGCGTGGCACTTCAATCCACCGGCTGCGCCGCACATGGGCGGCATCTGGGAGCGGATGGTGAGGTCGGTAAAGGTGGCGATGAAGGCGCTGGACGATGGGCGAACATTGCCCGACGAGGTTCTGCACACAACACTAGCTGAAGCAGATGACATGATTAACGCTCGGCCGCTAACGTACATGCCGCAGGAATCAGCTGAGGAAGAAGCGATAACTCCAAACCATTTCCTTCATGGGTCGGTGACAAGTGCGGACTTGGTGGTCCAGCCAGTGGACATTGCGGAGGCTCTACGAGATACTTACAACCGAATGTGGGAAAGATGGTGCAAGGAATACTTACCGACAATCAACAGACGGACGAAGTGGTTCGAGGAGCAGAAGCCGCTACAGGTGAACAACCTGGTCTTCATAGTGGATGGAAAAACCCGGAAAAGCTGGATCCGAGGGATCGTGGAAGAGATACTCCGAGGACCAGACGGAAGAGTTAGGCAAGCGATAGTGCGGACGGCTAGAGGAGTCTACCGGCCTGCTGTAGCGAACTTAGCGGTGATGGAGGTCTGAAAGTAAATCCGGGACTTCCGGAGGAACTACCGGATGTTACGGGAGTGGGTATGTCAACACCGCAGGGCAGCAAACCCAACACAACGGTGTGCGTAGCTGCGGTTGGCGTATCTAATGTTATTGCCGTTTCGTACCGTTGTCAGAAGTGAAGAAAGGGAAGAGAAAAACAAAACCAAAACAAACCAAACACAATTTATAAATGGATATTGTTAGCAGATAGAAATTGTTAGCAGATAGAGTGAAATTATAGAGGAATTTATCAAGGAATATTTCGGATCATAAAGTTCGTCTATACTGTGCATCTGGTTTCCCGTCGGCGACCTGAACATAGAAGGAAATTATAATTTTCTTTTGTTGAAGCTGATTAAATTGTAAGTAGTTCTAGCAGTTACCTGGAAAAGAAAAAAATAACATAAAATAAGTAATTAGTGGAACAGGTGTATAGGAAAGCGAGCGACGATTTGAACGGGAGAATTCGTGGTAATTAGAAGGAAGAGCTAGAACGAGGAAACGGTTGTGTAGCACACAAAAGCAAAATTAGACCACTTCTTGTAAGTTCTGAATCAAATTTAACGAATTTAATTTTCTAATAAAATCATAATATTACAGTTTGAGCTGCCACAAAAAAGAGGCTGCTACAAAAATTTGGTTTGGTATCCGAACAACGATGCTGTCGTTTTCCAGATCCAATTCTTCTGTTTCCACCACGAGTTTCAAACTGAAAATTGGAAATCAAATTAAAAATACAATTATTTTGCTTAGGTATAGACAAAACTGCTAGTAACTTAGGAATGTTGAAAGTGAGTGATCTGATTCATCCATCTCGTGATGTTTTTGATTACTAAATTGGTCACTTGCAAGTTCTCTCACTTTGTGGGAGTACTTTGTGTTATCCACCACATCCCGTGAATGCGCAAAGGAACTTTTTACCACTTTAACCGATGTAGTATTACCAATTTCTACAACATAATTTGCCAAAATTTTCTATACACGAAAAGTTCAAACTTGGGTTGGATAAAAACTGGTGGAGAAAAATGTAAACAAACAACATGGCTTGCTATTTTTTTTTCGTTCGGCGGTTGGTTCGTGTACGAAAAGATGCGGGTGATGTGAAAAAAAAGATGAAAAATGCGATAGTCGATGGTAGTAGATGTCATAGATGGAAACAGCTAGCACACAGTGACTAGATGAATACAGACTGTGTGTTATTAATGATAAAATGGAGATAATCTGGATGTGTCGCGGATGTAGCGAGTTATTAACAAAAAAGAAATTCCACGAAGAGAATCGATCATCGTGTACACACCCTTATACATGCTCACTATCGATTTGCTTTTCAAAAGAACCATATAGGGGAAATGGATGCAGTGTCGGCCTAAATGCCCCTAATTTTGGCCCATACACAAATTTAGCAATAGATTAAATTCTCAATAGCGACCAAAAAGATTCAAGAGTACCGTCTCAATGACGCGTTCATCTAGATAGAATTGATAAATAGCATATTTTTAGCAATGGGCCCAATCTTAGATCCATAGGCCAACATTAGAGCCATTTCCCCTATATTACATTATATGTTATGATTATTATTATTAATGGTAATTTTATTGTAATTTGTTTCTCTAGCAGCCCACCGTGCGACATAAATCATAACACGCAAACACAATCCGCACATAAAAACATGTCGCACCTCCCCCCGGGTGTTGAAACGCCCCACAAGAGTTGCATCGTTCATGATTCTGTCGCACGACACAAAACGTGTCTCATGAACGATATGCTGGTGGCATGAAACATCTCGATGGTCTCTCCGTCAGTCTCATCCAAGTGCTCTTTGACAGCTGTAGCAGTTCGGTCGTTCCCGTGTCGCGCAAGGGTGTTGATGTTGCTCTTTCTTCATCAAAACAAAGGTAAATTATGATTAACAGAATAAACTTGGTCCCTTTTCCGTTTTCGGTTATCGCTGCCGCATCGATTGCTCGCGATTTCAGTTCAGTTCTGTGGTTGGAGAAAATTCCACGGTCGGTAGCCGAACCGAAGGCCATTGTCGGTGAACCGGGAATGCATTCTGTAATACATGCTAATTAGGGGCATCGAACGGGTGTGTGACAAAAGGTTGAAGACGAAGAACAACAACAACAACAAACGAGACCGATACGAAGAAGTAAAAAGTGCTGGGTGCTGCTGCGGTAATGTTTATGCTACCGCCCATCCCGAAGAAGATAGTGATGTTAGAGAGCAGTAGTTGTTAGGTGGTTCGTCGGTGTATGTCTGCCGCCCTTTTGTGCTCCGTTTGATTGTGTGAAAAAAATATGTCAAAATCGATGAATGGCAAAAGTGGTCGTATAATTTGTGTTGATAACGACAGAAGCGTTTATGTGGAAGCCGTGTTTCCGTGCAGAAGAAAGCAGTAAAAAAGCCGCTGCGACGGTATCATCTTAATTATGTTGTTGCTTAAAGTACAAGGCCTAGTGGTGTTATCAGTTTTGTAAAGTGACCGAGTTGTAAGTGGAAAGTGAACTTCGACAATCGGACGTGTGTGTGGCACCTTCGTTGGGTGATCTGTTTTACGACTGCAGGCGTATTTGCCCCAGAATACAAAAAAAGGGGCGGAAACTGTCACCTACTTCGTTTATACAATTGTCGTGAGAGCTGATAGGAGTTTTTTTTTAATAGTGCAAAAGCTGTTTTGCATCAACTATCAAATTAGGCCTGGGTTGTTGAAACGAAGAAAAAAAAGCACAATGGATCTAGCGAACCTGTTCCTCTTCTGTCTGATGTCCTGCGTGATTGGCGCCGTGCTGATGCTGCTAATACAGTATTATGCTTTCGTGCGATACTTTCACCTACCGGAACTGGGCCAGGAGCAGGAGGAGTATCGCAAGTCGGCAAACAGCGAGCCGTACGTGCTACCGGATGTAAGTGTTGATTATAAAAGTTTTCAGGATTGTTTCGGAATAAGCTAGATTTGTTTCGAAATTTGAGGCAGGTCTGTACATTAACGACGGGTGCAAAACATTTTGTTTGGATTGTATTATTTTAAAATTAAAGAAATATTTGTGCAAGCTAACTAGCGGAATGACTCATCGACTCCTAATCATATTTCTGTATAAGATGGATTGGTTTTTGTTACAATTCCGCTTTACCCTAAGGGCCCATGCATTAACTATGTCACGCTAAATCGAGGAAAAAATTACCCCCCTATCGTGACGATTTTCCTATACCTAATGCATTGCTTGTCACAAAATCTTAGACCCCCCCCCCCCCCCCCCCTTAGAGCGTGACATCATATATGCATCAACCCTAATGAACATTTCACATTTGTCTAGGCCTAATTGAATCGCTTTGATACTAACTGTCATTCAAGTCGCAATAATGTTAATTGTTACCTGAAGCCTTGATGGTTTCAATTTCATGGGGAATCTTCTTTTCTTTTTGACGTTGGATAACGTCTTTCGGCAACATACGGGGGTACAAAATTGAAAACAGTCATTTTGGATGCGTTACAAAAAATTAAAAGATTTTGAACGATAATAACTCAACCGTCTCTCGATAGATTTACGAGATAATGGCATCAATCGATTGGAAATATTTCTAGCAATTTGCTGAATGTTTCAAAACTATTGATTTCAGTCTGTAAACTATTGAAAAATGGTTAAAAGTAAACCATTGTCAAAAGATGGTGAAAATCGATTGATTTTTTTTATATTCTTATACTTTCTCCAACCGAGACATCAGATGCGAGTATCTGACACCTCTGATATTTTCTGTTCTACTATATAAGCGTCCAACAAGGTCGCCCGTTCCATCATTGTCAACAACATCAGCCCAACAAAACGGCCCTTTTCAGGGCCACCAAACTTTCGCAAAAGATTTATTAAGGAATATTCCTAAAATATAATATACACAATTAAGTACAACACATAACAGACGTTATCCAACGCCAACCCTGCGGTCGTATCTAGTATACAACCCTTCCAACTTTTTTCTTTTTTCTTTTTCTGAGGCATAACATCTCTGATTACGCTTTCCATCGGGAGGGAAGTAAAGCCGTTGGTCTCCGGTCCATGGATCGATAGGTACCCAACTAACAATTTTCACAATGTAAACGCTTTGCTCATTTAATTTATACAGCCTCAAGCTGTATGAAAATACTATAAGATATGAGGTGACCTGTATACAAGCAAATCTGGTGAACTTAGTTAGCTACTTATGGCTGTTGGGACGGTTGGAACAAACTCTTATTGCATTTCTATTTACACTTCTAAACAGCTGTTATCCTGCTGTTTAGTTGTGTGCGAACTTTAAAGGCGCTTATTCAACCTTTTCCTGATTAAATATTGTTTACTTTTTATGAGGGAATTATTGATTTTATCTAGCTGCGAATTAAAAATTACTTGAAATTCGTTACATACATGGCACACCACCAAATTATTACCCTGCACCGGAAACCTGGACTCGAACTCAAGAAGACCGCATTGGCAAACCTTGACTCTACCAATTTCGCTACGCCAACACTTTGAACTGACGTAAACAAATGTACATGACCTTCTACAACAAGATTGCTGAGTGGAGGCTTTATAATAGTGCACATTAATCACTTTTCTCGACTAATTAGTTCAGCTTTGTAAAGAAGCGGAGTTAAAGCTGTAAAACTGCACAGATCTAAAAATAAACCTAGATAACTTTAAAAAATACTGCCAAAGTATCGCTAACATAGTTTGTTAGTTGTTAAAAAGGCACTTTCAATGTTTATGTTATTCAGCAAGAGTGGTTGATTGTGTAGAAGTCGTCAAATTAGTATAATCGAATTCAGAGAAGCGTTCCAAGTGAATTTCTAGAACAATTCCATGAAAGTTTCGGGAGAATACAAAGGAAATTCTGAGGAGAGCTTCAAGTGAATTTATACGAGAAAACTCCGTTGAATACGGAATGAATTATTCTGAGGTCTTCAGAACTACTTGAAAGTTCCCTAAATTTTCCTGAAGTTTACGAAACTACATTGAATTTCTTTTGTAGTTTGAGAAATTAGTCTGATGATCACAATACTTCTCATCAAAAGTTTAAACTTCTCTGATCTTTTTCGGACTTCCTAAATTTTCCTAACGATCAAAGTTTTGACAATTCGATGAAGTTCACGGAAATTCTTTAAAATATATTTAATTTCTCTAGTGCTAACAGAACTGCTTTGAAGTTTTATGTTTTTTCCTGCAGTTATCGAAACTTCTATAATTTTTTTTGCTGTTCTCCCGAAGCTGAACTGTCCTAAAAATGTTTAAGCTTCCGTGAATTTCTGAACTTATGGGAAGACCTCAATTATTTTCTTAGCATCTCCGAAGTTCTCTGAAAAAAATTACCGTTAATTTTCTGAAACTAATGGAATTGAATTCCCCCTGAAATTCCGCCTATTTTTGGAGCTCACTGAACCTCTTTTAAATGCTCCCACATTTTGATAATTTTCATGAAAGTTATCGAATGTTCCCTTAAGTTCCGTAGACTTCTATGAGTTCTCGAAATGTTTATTAAGATGTTTGCCCTTCTGTAAAGCTTTCGAAGTTTTTCTGAAATTTCTGCAATTTCTTTAAGCCCCGCTGGAATCTAGAAGAAATAATTAATTTAGGTCTATGATTTTTACTGAGGTTTTCAAGATTTTTCTGAAGCTCGTGGAACTGAAATTATCGGCATTAATTAATAGCTTATTCAATAGTCTAGTCTCCCCTGATGCTATTTATACTGCCTAAAAGATTTCGGAATTTCCTTAAAGTTCTCCAGTATTTTTCATAAGAACCCGTAATTCTACTAAAATTAATTGTTTTGCCTTGAAGTTTCCATAATTTTCTTTAAGTTTTATAAACTATATAAACGTTCACGGAACTTTGTCTTGAATCACTAATTTTTGCTGAACTTATCTGGATATCCCTGAAGTTTTCAATGCTTACCTGGAGTTCTCTTAATTGTCGTAACATTACGGCAAATTTTTGTGATATATACATATTTATAATTCTCTGATGCTTCTGAAGCTTTCGGATCAATCATAGAATTCTTGAAATCCCAGAATTCGACAGAACTCCTTAAAAGTCGCTGCAAGTTTCCTAAACTTAATAACATTGTTCTGAAGTAATCTGATTGTCCTTGGAGTACTCGGAACATCGCTGAATATCAAGAAACTATCTAAACATATATACATTTCTTAGAGGTTAGCCGATGGCTGAAAGTCTCTTTAATAAAGAAAGATAAGATTCTTAGAAGTTCTCTGGAATTTCTTGAAGATATAGGTGCTTCCTAAAAGTTCTTCTATTTTTTTTTAAATCATGGAATTTCGTTGATGTTCTCAATTTAACTTAGAAAATTTTCGTATTTTTTTTAAGTTCTTTAAATACTATAACATACACTCACATTTTCTGGATGTTCATATAATTGTTATTGTGTTCTAGAAATTATCTCGCAGCTTTGCTGATGTTTCCGAAAATCGCCTGAGTTTTTCGAAACATCTTTAAAGTTTCTGCAATTTCTTTGAAACCCTCCCCTTGGCTAGTTTTTGCACCTTGCTGTTGGTGGGTGGGCTTAATTTCATGCTTTATAGTGGAGTGTTGGAGACGGTCGGTTTATGGCCGGCGTTGCTGGCTCATGCCACGATAGATTGGCGCCATGGGCAGGCAATGGGAATTACTAAGCTTCCCCTCTCTGATGTACCACTGCATGAGAGAATCAAAGATCTAGTCTAGCAGTGATAGTATCACACTTGTTACTCCTTTGTTTGAGAGCCGCGTTGTAGTACGTTTACGTATAGGCACTGACGTTGGGTGCGATACTGGCGGGTTTTGCCGCAAATCACTCTTATTTTATTTATAGGGAACTATACATTTGAAATATTTCAGAAAGTGCCCAACAGTGCTCCTTCTATTTGCGTGACAAGCTTGTTGCATTGTTGTTTTCATTGAGGTATTACTCAGGCAACAATGTTAAACATCATTTTTGTACATGGTATTGTAACTAATCTTATATGTGCTTCATTTTGATTTGGGATAAGTGTTTGAACTATGACTCGGGATTTCCACTGTGCAGGGCTGGTAGCGAGTCACTATTTAGTGACTTGGTCACTTTTTTCACGCCAGTCACTAAAAAGTCTCCTTTTTTAAGGCCAAGTCACTAAAGTCACTTTTTTTTGTAATCAGTCACTATTTTCAACTTTTTTAGCGTGAATTTATTTCGTCTTTCTCTATCAACAAGGTGTCTATTGATTTTTCTAAAAAAAAACTGAGTTTTCCAGGGTTTTCCAGAACTTTAACGGATAAATTCCAGGCTTATAATAAGAAAGCTATTTTTTAAATGCGTTAAAAAATGTGTTTTGTTTTGTAGATCTAACACAACAGGAATTAACACGAACGTTTTTAAAACATGACTATCACTCTTAAAGAAACAGCTTTACAATTAAATCAATTGAATGTTGAAGTTTAACACCTACTTAATTTCGCACTTTAATAAAGTTTAAAAAAAAAGTTACTTAAATTGAGTAAGTCCAAGATCTAAAAATATTCAATGTCTTGAAGTTTCGTATTCCATGTACACAATTTTCAGAGTGCCAGAATTATGGAAAAACAAAATGATATATTTCAAATTCGCAATTCAATTTATGGAAGATTAGAGATGTTCATTACAGTCCAATTAAATTCACAACAATTGTAGGAACTTTGGAGAAGTTCTGAGGAATGAAAGGAAATGCTGAAAATTTCAGTGAAGCGGAAACATAAGGGAAGTTAAATATGTGGAATTTACTGGAAGTTTTAAGAACCTCAAAGCGGATATCTTAGCACCCGAAAATTTTCAGCAACTTTTATGAAGTTCCTAGAATTTCAGAGAGCTTCACAGGTGTCAAGCGAACTTGAGAAATATAGAAAACTTGAGGGGTATTGTGCAA